TTTGAAAACAAGACTCTAATTATTGCCAGCTTACCCTATGTGCATGTTTTCTGACATGAACTGTCTAAAACCTGTGTGAAACTATTCTGATAACAAATCGAACGCATTTTAGAATACTATCAATGTATTGTTTAGTGGTTAAGCATTCCAACATTCAAGATTGTACAAAGTATCCAATCCTGCCTGTGTCTCCTGTCCACATCTTACTGTATGCCTATTTGTCAATGAAAGTTCACAATTTCTGCCTCAAATGGTCAGTTTAGAATTCTTGTCACAACAGTATCATCCCTAACCATATATCTAACATAAGTTAGTTAATATATGAACTAGAAGTGTTTAAACAAAGCCATATTTGCAAAAGTTGTATTTATGAAGATATCAGTCTGGTGCATAAATTCACTAAAAGTTTGATTGAAATGACTGCTAACATCTGATTTTTGCATAACTTTCTAGCACAGTTATTGTTTACTTTACAAAAGACCTTTAAAATAAAAAAAATCATAGCATTTTCAAGTTAAATTATCTGTTTTTTGACTCAGGGGTAGGCATTTTTCTCTGTTTTTTGCCCCTGGGGCCTCATTATTCCAAATTTTTTCCCCTGTTTCTAGCAATGTGGAATATTTACTACATATTTAGGATAGAACACACTATTGTAAGTTTTATTGAGGTCTTTTTGTAATTCTAGCTTGTACTTTTTTATGCCGCGGTCACAAAAAAGCACATTTAGGCGTTACGGCTTACTTTTGGGTTATCGACAGGAAAAAAACACCCCACTGAAAATATTTAGGAAGGATCAATGAGTTGCAATTACTGCGAAGAGTAAATATAAGCACTTCTAAACAATTTAAATTACAAATAGGCATATATTATGAATTTATTTTGAATTCAGGGCTTTAAGTAAACCAAGCATACTGTAAACTGTGAATTTATGCTGAGTCATCATAGTTAAGGCCCAGGATTTTCTCAATCTTCATGAAATATTTATAAAACTTTATATTTGAGTTAAATTCTTTAAAATCTCTGAGATAAACCAGATTTTGTGAAATTCTGTATGTTCTATTTTTTAACCCTATATAGGTTGCAATTCTGTAAATACAGACAATGCAATTTCCCATAGGAACTCCCTTTGCGGCTAAAACTGTGACACTTTTACTATGAAGTTTCGTGAAAAATGATATCCCAGAACGGAAAGTTTATATGCACTACTATTTTATTCAAAGGTCAAAATATAGGGCTGTGCGGCATATTTTCAACATTTATATGCCCTGAACTTCTAAGAGTTTAAACTTATACTAAAATTCTATACTACCCTTACCTCCATTTTTGGACCTCTTAAGAATTAAAATTTAGCCGCTACCATGTTTTTCTATACTGGTTACATTCCCAAGTGATGTCTCCATGAGATGAAACACAGAGATCATCAATTGGAACCAGTACGTTAACAAATTAACATACCTATGAATATTAAAAATATCTCCCCAAAAGAGGCGTGGTTTGAGAAACAGCTGTATTTACAAAGTGCAACCTATACAAACATTTATTCAAAAAGAAAACTCTCTAAAAACTCTTTTTCTCACAGCAATACTTATTTATCAGAATTATAGCCTTAAAGAAATCACTGCATATACTCTAAGTTTCCTTTTACAGTACATTTTATACCCCTACCCCTGTTTCAATTTTTTAAAGATTTTGAAAACAAGACTCTAATTATTGCCAGCTTACCCTATGTGCATGTTTTCTGACATGAACTGTCTAAAACCTGTGTGAAACTATTCTGATAACAAATCGAACGCATTTTAGAATACTATAAATGTATTGTTTAGTGGTTAAGCATTCCAACATTCAAGATTGTACAAAGTATCCAATCCTGCCTGTGTCTCCTGTCCACATCTTACTGTATGCCTATTTGTCAATGAAAGTTCACAATTTCTGCCTCAAATGGTCAGTTTAGAATTCTTGTCACAACAGTATCATCCCTAACCATATATCTAACATAAGTTAGTTAATATATGAACTAGAAGTGTTTAAACAAAGCCATATTTGCAAAAGTTGTATTTATGAAGATATCAGTCTGGTGCATAAATTCACTAAAAGTTTGATTGAAATGACTGCTAACATCTGATTTTTGCATAACTTGCTAGCACAGTTATTGTTTACTTTACAAAAGACCTTTAAAATAAAAAAAAATCATAGCATTTTCAAGTTAAATTATCTGTTTTATGACTCAGGGGTAGGCATTTTTCTCTGTTTTTTGCCCCTGGGGCCTCATAATTCCAAATTTTTTCCCTGTTTCTAGCAATGTGGAATATTTACTACATATTTAGGATAGAACACACTATTGAAAGTTTTATTGAGGTCTTTTTGTAATTCTAGCTTGTACTTTTTTATGCCGCGGTCACAAAAAAGCACATTTAGGCGTTACGGCTTACTTTTGGGTTATCGACAGGAAAAAAACACCCCACTAAAATTATTAAGGAAGGATCAATGAGTTGCAATTACTGCGAAGAGTAAATATAAGCACTTCTAAACAATTTAAATTACAAATAGGCATATATTATGAATTTATTTTGAATTCAGGGCTTTAAGTAAACCGAGCATACTGTAAACTGTGAATTTATGCTGAGTCATCATAGTTAAGGCCCAGGATTTTCTCAATCTTCATGAAATATTTATAAAACTTCATATTTGAGTTAAATTCTTTAAAATCTCTGAGATAAACCAGATTTTGTGAAATTCTGTATGTTCTATTTTTTAACCCTATATACAAACATTTATTCAAAAAGAAAACTCTCTAAAAACTCTTTTTCTCACAGCAATACTTATTTATCAGAATTATAGCCTTAAAGAAATCACTGCATATACTCTAATTTTCCTTTTACAGTACATTTTATACCCCTACCCCTGTTTCAATTTTTTAAAGATTTTGAAAACAAGACTCTAATTATTGCCAGCTTACCCTGTGTGCATGTTTTCTGACATGAACTGTCTAAAACCTGTGTGAAACTATTCTGATAACAAATCGAAAGCATTTTAGAATACTATAAATGTATTGTTTAGTGGTTAAGCATTCCAACATTCAAGATTGTACAAAGTATCCAATCCTGCCTGTGTCTCCTGTCCACATCTTACTGTATGCCTATTTGTCAATGAAAGTTCACAATTTCTGCCTCAAATGGTCAGTTTAGAATTCCTGTCACAACAGTATCATCCCTAACCATATATCTAACATAAGTTAGTTAATATATGAACTAGAAGTGTTTAAACAAAGCCATATTTGCAAAAGTTGTATTTATGAAGATATCAGTCTGGTGCATAAATTCACTAAAAGTTTGATTGAAATGACTGCTAACATCTGATGTTTGCATAACTTGCTAGCACAGTTATTGTTTACTTTACAAAAGACCTTTAAAATAAAAAAAATCATAGCATTTTCAAGTTAAATTATCTGTTTTATGACTCAGGGGTAGGCATTTTGCTCTGTTTTTTGCCCCTGGGGCCTCATAATTCCAAATTTTTTCCCTGTTTCTAGCAATGTGGAATATTTACTACATATTTAGGATAGAACACACTATTGTAAGTTTTATTGAGGTCTTTTTGTAATTCTAGCTTGTACTTTTTTATGCCGCGGTCACAAAAAAGCACATTTAGGCGTTACGGCTTACTTTTGGGTTATCGACAGGAAAAAAACACCCCACTTAAAATATTTAGGAAGGATCAATGAGTTGCAATTACTGCGAAGAGTAAATATAAGCACTTCTAAACAATTTAAATTACAAATAAGCATATATTATGAATTTATTTTGAATTCAGGGCTTTAAGTAAACCGAGCATACTGTAAATTGTGAATTTATGCTGAGTCATCATAGTTAAGGCCCAGGATTTTCTCAATCTTCATGAAATATTTATAAAACTTCATATTTGAGTTAAATTCTTTAAAATCTCTGAGATAAACCAGATTTTGTGAAATTCTGTATGTTCTATTTTTTAACCCTATATAGGTTGCAATTCTGTAAATACAGACAATGCAATTTCCCATAGGAACTCCCTTTGCGGCTAAAACTGTGACACTTTTACTATGAAGTTTCGTGAAAAATGATATCCCAGAACGGAAAGTTTATATGCACTACTATTTTATTCAAAGGTCAAAATATAGGGCTGTGCGGCATATTTTCAACATTTATATGCCCTGAACTTCTAAGAGTTTAAACTTATACTAAAATTCTATACTACCCTTACCTCCATTTTTGGACCTCCTAAGAATTAAAATTTAGCCGCTACCATGTTTTTCTATACTGGTTACATTCCCAAGTGATGTCTCTATGAGATGAAACACAGAGATCATCAATCAATTGGAAACAGTACGTTAACAAATTAAAATACCTATGAATATTAAATATCTCCCCAAAAGAGGCGTGGTTTGAGAAACAGCTGTATTTACAAAGTGCAACCATTAATAGTAGACGTGATGTCATGATACCAGAATGAAATTGACTCACCCGGGTTTAACGACGTGACGGCGTTAAACAAATCACAACGTCACTAGTTTACCCGAGTTGCGTTAAAAAAGAGATATGGGGTATGCATCAAAAAGACAGCAACCCGAAGACCAAATATTCGAACAACATATAAAGGTTTAAGTTTTATGATTTGATAACTATAATAACTTACACATGTTACATACATTAAGGCGACAGTAGTTTATCTTGAGCTTTTGATTTTTCCGTTTTGAATTTTGCTTTGAGTTCGGTATTTTTGTTATTTTACTTTTTACCGTTGTTCAAATCTCGCATATTGATGTATTGTTGTAGACATACGATTATAAAGTTGTCTGCAGAAAATTTCCCTTGGTTAGACAAATCACTTTATAACAAAATTATCCGATACGATATACATTTTTTTTTTTTATATTATGGGCGTTTCATTAGAACAGCGAATTCAGAGATAAATTATGCTTTTATTTTTGTTTTATTTTTGTTTTTTTCATATTTTTGCAGCGGCCACAGCAAGTTTTTGTGTGTTTGCATCCTCGTTGAGAGGATTTGGTGTTTTCTTTAATGGTTTTGTTGACAAGTTCGATTCCAGTTCATCTTTAACCTCATCTATAACTGGTATTCTGCATGCAACATACAGTATTTCTAGTAAGTATTTAAAATTCAAAATCAAAATCGTCATAATGGTATTTAGTCTCAATTTACAAGTAGAGATATATGAATATGTAATTTATTGTCGGTATACAGATTTGACTGTTCTAGATACTTACAGATTTTAAATAAACTCTGTCTCCAGAATTTTACTTCTGTTATCAGATTAGATGCATTTTTGTGAAATATCTGTGTTTAACTTATGTTTTTATTGTTTCTTCTTCTTTTGTCCTTTCGTTTTGTTTATTTGTTTATGGTGTCATATTGCACAAAACTATAGTGTGTTGTGTCGCATTGAACAAGTAGCTGGTTTACAATACACAAATAAGTATTTCCATCAATATATGTGCAATGTATGTGTAAATGATAATCAAATTTTATGTATATGGGAGTAGGAGTATACTCATTTATGTGAAATTGGTTCTTTCAAACCATCCTTCATTTTTATCTGTATGCATTATTTCAAATAAAAAAATAGGTAATTATACACCAAAATCAAATTATACACTTTGTCCAAAGGAACAGAAAATGGACCTTTTCCATAAACATGTTAGAAAAACTTGAATATTACTGTTACAAGCATTTTTAAGACGTTTTTGTGGTTAGATGTTTACACATGAACAAGTGATTAGAAAACGATATCAGTAAACCATGAGGTCTACGTGTTTTCAAAATATGGATGAGCTAGGAAATTAACAGAAATTATACACTTTGTCCAAAGGAACAGAAAATGGACCTTTTCAATGGACCTTCTCATTAAAAATGTTAGAAAAACTTGAATATTACTGTTACAAGCATTTTTAGGCCGTTTTTGTGGTTAGATGTTTACACATGAACAAGTGATTAGAAAATGATATCAGTAAACCATGAGGTCTACGTGTTTTCAAAATATGGATGAGCTAGGAAATTAACAGAAATTATACACTTTGTCCAAAGGAACAGAAAATGGACCTTTTGCATGGACCTTCTCATTAAACATGTTAGAAAAACTTGAATATTACTGTTACAAGCATTTTTAAGACGTTTTTGTGGTTAGATGTTTACACATGAACAAGTGATTAGAAAATGATATCAGTAAACCATGAGGTCTACGTGTTTTTAAAATATGGATGAGCTAGGAAATTAACAGAAATTATACACTTTGTCCAAAGGAACAGAAAATGGACCTTTTCCATGGACCTTCTCATTAAACATATTAGAAAAACTTGAATATTACTGTTACAAGCATTTTTAAGACGTTTTTGTGGTTAGATGTTTACACATGAACAAGTGATTAGAAAATGATATCAGTAAACCATGAGGTCTACGTGTTTTCAAAATATGGATGAGCTAGGAAATTAACAGAAATCGAGATGAAACGAATATTGTATTGCTTTCTTAATGTTCTCTGACGGATACTACTTACAATTAATCTACTGAAGCAAGGATTCCTAGTCGTAAAGTCGAATTGATCACTTCGGAAGTTTTACTTGTGATTTCATGAGTTGGTTGGCTATTATGGAATATCTGTGTAGATAACAACGAATATGTTTCGATTATCGTAGCCAATCTTTCGTCCTGTTTCCTCAATGATGACATCGAGTGTGCTTTAACAAAATATTCGTTCTTACCATGAACAACACGACAGGTCCCACATTTTTAGAAAGAAGGAAATACCAATCCTTCGTAGGCACCTGATATCAACCTGGTAAATGGAAGTGTTGATCAGTCGTATGTTTTGTTTAGAATGTTGTTTGTATTTTCGTCTTTTGTTCTCTTTTTTTTTTCTTTTTTTTTCATACTTTAAATAAGCTCAACATAGAAACCAAGAATAAAATTGTGTATGCCAGATGCGCGTTTCGTCTACAAAAACTCATCATTGACGCTCGAACCAAAAAGTCAACAAAAAAAAAAGATCAAATAAAGTAAGCAGTTGAAGATCATTGAAAACTTAAAATTTCAAAACTTTGAGTTTTAATGTTCGCCGTTGTATATCTTCCGCTTCTTATTTTATAATAATTTAGACACAATTCTATTATTGCTTTTTATCTTACTTTTAATTATGCAGTAGAAACATTATTTAATTGATTGATTGTTATGAAATGCAGGATATATGGGGGTATACGTCAAACGACTTTATAACCAAATGAAATCAAACAGTCTTCAACAATAGACAGTTGTTAATACAATATGTCAACTTTTTAATCGTCAGGAGAGTACTAAAGTTGTGAATAAAAGTGTTGCCTTAACGTTCTGTAGAATAAATCAAATCGAACTGTTTTTATTTTCAAGTCAAGGTTGCTATATTACGACCTAATGTTTATAACAAACAAGTAACTATATTTTCAGCCCTTCCAGTGCTTACAATTGGTCTTCGGTTTTTATCAACCAGACAGTGTTTAATGATAGCTGGTGTTTTGTCCAGTGCGGCTTTTATTGGTGGGAGCTTTGCAACCAACACAACAACATTACTTTTTACAAATGGGTTTTTATCAGGTATACATGTACTATATTGTAGGTTTTGTCAGTATTTTTAATAAAGTCAAGAATAGTGTAAGGAGAAAATGATAGGGGAACCGAACAAAACAATAGATCGGAGATCTACGGACAAACCAGAGGATAAGAACAAAACTGGTACCATAATATTCAGTGTTTTGAAAAAAAAATATTTGCGTGCGAAAGGTTAATGCTCAGGAACCGAATTAAAAACAGGACAACAATAGTAGAAAAAAAAACCAACTAAGCAAAGCAACAACAAAAAATGTATAACCGATGTTTGCTTCCAGACAAAAGAAATATGAATTATCAGCATAATGAGCTATGTTCCCTCTGTTTAATAGTCGGGAGAACATCAACAATTAATATCAACAATATAAATCCAATGTAAAACACGCTTTACTTCGTGAGTCAAATGTAGACGAAAAACGCATCTGCCGTTCATTTTTACCAAACTATACCGTGGTATCTTCGATGAGTTTTCACAAACATCAGGAGTAACAGAATAGGTTTCAGACTACCACATGCAATGAACAGATCAAAAGAAAATTCCCAATTACTGTTTTCAATCTTGTTGTAATGGTTTATGATCTAAACAAAAACATATAAGGATATTTTTTTTTAAATTGATTTTTTAGTAGCTTTATAAGAAAATCATGATTTGAACTCACTTTCTGTGTCAAATCATTTTAATCTTACAGGGAAACATACTATCTTGCATTGTAAATTTAGTGAAGTATTGTAACAGCACTGGAATTTATTAATTTGTGAATAGTAATGCTGCTTCGTTCAACAGATATTTCTTTTAAAAATAACAGACACCTACTAGAAAAATATGACACACACACATACACATTTATTCCCAACACAAATTCTAACAAAAAACAAACAAAACAGAAATAGCATAAAAGGAGGAAAGAAGAAAGGGTGGTATCGAAGAAAAGCTTCTTTTTTAACAAAAATAAAATCGGTCAATTAAAAAGAAAATGATTCAACTCAATATATTTCACGTACTGAACTGTTTTTTTTTTCTTTTTTGTTTTTACATATCGATTTATAATTTGTAGGTCTAGCGTTTTCATTTTTACATGGACCACTAGCTTATTTGATCGGCATCTACTTTATCAAACGACGAAATTTAGCCCAGGCAATAACTATATCCGGTGGTCAGCTAGGAGGTCTACTTTTCCCTCCACTTTATGGATATTTAATCAGAGAGTATGGATTACAGGGTGGAATGCTTCTTACTGGAGGAATTCATCTAAATATAATTGCTTTGGCAATTCTGTTAAGGCCAAAAAGAATCAACATTATGACGACAATTCAAGAGACACGAAACAGTCAGCATTTTAGAACATCAAATATAGCAGAAAGAAAACAGATGATTCTAAACGATGAAGATGAAATGATGGCTTCAAATGGAATGCTCAATGAAATGAAACGAAGTTTTAGTGAAAGTCTTTTAAAAAAAGTCGTAAAACACGAGCCAGTGGCAAATCATATACTGTGTAATTCAGATCTGCATATGACCAAACATACCAGAGATCGAATAATAACTGAAAAATATGTCGATAGTTTGTCACGTTCCAACATACTTAGTATTGTAAGCAATTCATTGCCAGTTTTGAGAGTTAGTAATAGATCGCAAATTCTGATAAAAAGGGAAGCGAAACAAAGTTGCTGTCAATTTGTAGATAAAAGTGTGATGGAAGCGCCATTCATGTGGATTTATGCGTTGGTTTATTGCTTCGGGAGAGTGCCTAATGCATACAACAGTATTTATATTGCGCCGCTTGCACACGAATCAGGCATTAGCGATAGCAGAATTGCAGATCTTGTTTCGCTAATTAATGCATGCGATTTTATTGGAATGATTTTATGTGGTTTCGTAGCAGATAGAAAACTTTTGGAAAACTATGTCATTGTCATATTATATTTGTGTTTCACTGGTGTGTGTTTGTCTCTCTCATCATTATGTTCAGCATATTGGCATTTTATACTATTTTCTATTGCGACTGGTATTAGTGCTGGGGGAATATTTGCATTGACGCCAACAGTGGTGGCAGATTTTATGGGAATAGAAAATTTTAGATCTGCTATGGGTATTCTAGTTCTATTTCAAGGAGTAAGTTTGGCAGCTTCTGCACCATTCCTTGGTATGTTTATTTAGGATTAAATGTATTCATTTTCAAGATAAAACAAAACAATTGTTTGTCAGTTATATCATCGATCGTTAATTCAAATTTAAAAAAAAAAAATTCTTCCCAAATATATATCGTCATCGGGTTTCACTTGGACAATGTCACATTTAATTATTTAAATACATTATTTTTTTATGTTATATAAGGAAATGAAATAGGTTCTTTATTCAGCACCCCTTTATTCTTTACTGATTTTTTACCTTTTTTTCTCTTCTTTATTAGTTTTTGTATATTTTTTTCTATTTTTTTTTTTTCTTTTTGTTAACCATACGTTCTACACTTTTTGCCCAGTATTCTGTTTTCTCATTTCTGTAAAACCTATTCAGACCATCATTGGATATGTATATATCAAATCGTTGACAAAAAGAAAAAACCTCACTTCAATTAAAAAAAAGGATTACCAATGCATTATATGTTTAATGCAAAGGAAGAAAGATAAGAAGTTAGCAATATCCTTTAACTTTACGTTCCGCTATATAGACGATGTTCTCTCACAGTTGTGACAATGAGGGTCGGTGGAAAACAAAACGACAAAAGAGATGATTTCAGCTTCCCAATTGTGAACTTTCAATTTCTATGTAGCAACATTCCAGCAGCGCCAGCATACGGAGTATATATCTCCCAATTGATACGATATTCCCGGGCTTGTATTTCCTATCATGATTTCCTTGATAGAGGATTGCTGCTCACAAGGAAGCTATTAAACCAAGAGTTCCAAATGGTGAAGTTGAAATCATCCCTTCGTAAATTTTACGGACGCCATCACGAGTTGGTTGACCGTTATGGAATAACCGTTTCACAGATGATATCGGATATGTTCCTTACGTCGTAACTACAATACCCTACCCTTTTTACGAATATGACCTACCGAATTAGACTATTTACCGGACTTGTAATAACATAAGCAACACGACGGGTGCCACATGTGGAGCAGGATCTGCTTACCCTTCCGGAGCACCTGAGATCACTCCCAGTGTTTGGTGGGGTTCGTGTTGCCTAGTTTTTAGTGTTCTATGTAGTGTCATCTTTACTATTATTTGTCTGTTTGTCTTTTTATTTTTGGCCATTGCGTTGTCAGTTTGTTTTCGATCTATGAGTTTGACTGTCCCTCTGGTATCTTTCGTCCCTCTTTCAGATACTTATGTAGAGTATGAGTTACAATGTATGTCTTGATTAGAGAACCGGACATTGTTTGATGTTGTTGACAAATCCAGTTGCATCTTATAACTGTTTGTTGTTTTTTTTTTGCAGGATATTTAAAAGATAGGAGTGGAACATACGTTACATCATTCTATTTTTTGGGTGGATGTGATATACTTTCTGCCTTTATTTTTACTCTTGGTCTTGTATACATTAGGAAACTCAAAAAGAAAAGTGTTAGTGAATAAACTTTGAAATTTTTTTTTGTACAAAAGCAATGTCGAACAACGTATGGCATCAGTGAATTGTTACGATTTTTTACAATCGCAAACAGATGAGATCGGAAATTGATTTTCATTGCAAAATAGTATAGTCATTTGAATTATGAATAAAGATACAGTAATAACGTTCATGAAAAAATTAAGATCTATGATACAAGATTTCGGGCGGGAGTTTTCAAATAAAATGAAACAAGCACTGTAACACAATTTACCTCCAATGTTTTGTTAGACACAATAATCATATATAAAGATAAGAAGATGTGGTATGATTGCCAATGAGATAACTATTCACCAAAGTTCAAATGAAGTGAATGTGAGCAATTATAGGCAACCGTACGGTCTTCAAAAGTAACAATATATCGGTTTCAGAACACTGCAAACAAGATACATATACTTACTATCAATTAAACAATGTCTGTTGTCTGCATTGACCAAATTCATAAAAGAACACATAGTATATCTTGAAAATGACTTATAAATACTGATTTTATCAAACCTATTGAAGACTATAGGGTTTTTTCTTGATGTCTTTGATCATAACACCACACATCGGCCTCCCTTTATCTATACGAATTTTATGCGAAACTCGTTCCCAGTGTTAGGACCTAAGTTTTGACCATTTTCCTAAAATCTAATCTTTACATGTTACAAGTAAAATTATGCTTTTTTCCTTTGGTTTCTTGGTAGCAACAGATGCATTGTTAGTCATATTTGCTTTGCGTGGAAGTCAAAAAAATATGGGTCACTAAAACTATCTCTAAACTATAGTTAAAATTTAGCGACGGGTTAAGATATCCTAACGCTATCGGTAGCTAATGCTACCGTTAAATCAAGTTGGTCAACATCTTTTTAACCTTGCGTTACGTAACGCTAGGTTAAACCTTTTAACGACACATTGAGGGTAACACTAGCGTTGAGTTAACGACAAGTTGAAAAACCGGCCCCTATAGTTTAGCACTTAAAACGGTGTTGATTTCATTATTAGTGTTAAACACGAGATCGGCTTACTGGTATATTTTAGTTAGGGGTTTCTGCTGGTCACATAACAGAAATATAGAAATATTTAGCAGCTTTATATGCGTTAATCATCATTTTAGGCGGAAAAAAGCTTATACTGATACAAGAATAAGATAATTTGTAATTCTTGAGTCTGCATTGCATAGTCTACGTATTTGTGATTATACGATTACCAAGATTAGGTTGCTGGATTCCGGGTTATTTAGGTTGTGAGATTGACATAATAGCAAAGAAGAAAGATGGGTGTATAACTATGTATAACTATAGAGTATTTACTTGTATCAAGGGAATAATCATGAAAGAAATACTTTAAAACCATTTTAATTATCTGTTATTGAACTACTGATTGATTGATTGTTGTTTGTTTTACGCAGCCTCAGCACAAAAGAAAACAAACCATATAGGTAACTAATTTTGAATCATTTGATAGAGCCTTGAATACTAAATATTGTACTTATAAAAACAACTGGTGTGAGATAAACTTTTAAGTGGAATAGATGACTTGGTGTCTTGTGTCTTTAGTTGTTTCCTCATAGTTATTGTATAAATCTGTTGTTTATCAAATATGCAGTTTGGTCTTGAAAATGATTATGAGATGCTGATAAGTGTAAAACAGATTGCCCACAATTAGAGACGCTCGGACGATGGCAAATTTAAAAGTTGTTAGTTCATTATTCCTTTTATTTGAATAGGGAGATGGAAGAGGGTCCTTTCCCTTGAGTCTTAATTCTTTATTGTTGAGACCATTTTTCTTCATATTTATATTTCAGTTCCCCATTTTTCTCTATTCCTTTTTCTTTGGCCTCTTTTTCTTTACTCTTTGTTTTTTGTTATTGATTAATTCTACACGTTTTGCTCATTGACTCTATTCTGTAAACCCTCATCTAGACCCTCATAGAACATGTATATATGGATTATCTCTCGTTTAACGAAAGGAAATACACCACTTAGAAAATTATTAACCGAACAAGATTACCATTACATGATATGTATAATGCATTGGTCGAGTAATTATGTAGAGAAAAACAAAGGGTATGGGGTATCCATCCATGACACAAAGTCAGTTCATGCACAGCAAATAACACATAAAAAGCAAAGGAACAGCGCTTTGATTGCTGTTTTTCATCTCAAATTCACAGTGAGGCCTTCAACACGGAACAAAAAAACTCACCTCACTGCAGGTTTAAGACGGCCCCAAGCACTGGTTTGAGCGGAATTATTTGCAAAATAATTCGGGTAAACTTTGTAAGCTGTACCTCACCAAAACATGAGTTATGTTCTCTCCGAGGCGTAAAGACGATGTATTGGTTTGATTAGTTATTTGTAGGTGTAATTACATTTCATTATATTCTCTTATTTTCTGCAGGATACTTAAGAGAAATGAATGGAACATACGTTACATCGTTCTATTACTTGGGTGGCTGTGATCGTCTTTCTGCCTTTAGTTTTACTATTGGTCTCGTATACATGAGGAAACTCAAAGAAAAAAGTGTTAATAAATAAACTTTGAACTGACTTTCTGTACAAAAGACGGATGTTGTAAAGATATAAGAATTCGGGCGGCAGCTTTCCAATAAAATGAATAAAGAACTATGACACAATTTACCCTCAATGTTTTGCTAGACACAATAATCATATCAATCATATCGGTTTGAGAAAACAGCAAACATGTACTTGTACTTACAATTAAAAAAGCAAGATACCGGTATGTTTCCTACCTTGGCATAATACATTAAATAACGCAAAGTGAATCTTGAAAATCACTCATAAAGTCTAAAAATTGAGATTTTTTTTTTTTTTTTTTTTGTATAGTTAGATTGTTGTCTCATCTACACATTACCTACATACGCCATCTTTTATATAAGCATCGTTCTAAATGTAGGGTCACATCTTAGTAATGGCCTGTTTACTACTATCTAGTCTTCACATGTTTCACTTTACAAGTTATCATTTCATTGATTAAATGTAGATTACTAATGTGATGTTCGCGTGTAAGTTACATTATATAGAATTACAAAGACTAAAAATATGAACAATGTAAAATAAAAAAACAAACAAATAAGCGCAGGGACTTGCACTTCTGAATATACGACACGGGGTTTGTTTTCTATTCTTTTTTTAATTCATAAAAGACCAAACACGTAGTTTTGACGTCCGTCTGCCCATCCGTTCCTTGAGCACGACTCAAAATGATTTGTGTTTTTAAACGATTATTTCTAATATGTTTGTAAATTTTCGGAATGCCACGTTTAATAAAAAAAAAAAGAACTTTCCACCTTTCTCTTGTGACAACAATTAGACCAAGCGTTTTCGAGCTACGTGACTTAAACATGTTTAATCGTAAAAAAACTACTCATTTATTCAAATATATGCCTGGTGATAATTACAGCCTATTTTCGACAAATAACATAAATATTTTGGGTATAACTTAATTAATAAAATTAATCTCACTTTTGATTTAGACGATTTGCTGATAAGTCGTCCCAATAGTTATTTGACTTTCATTGTCCAAATTCGGCATTTTACATTCGATTCACAAAAAAATGCGTTTTCTTTCTTTAATCATCATGCATGTTTGCTCACTGCAAGGTTTCGAAGAGTAAAGGTACTTTTCGATTTGGAAAATTTAAAGTTAAGCCTCATTCAGTGATGGACCTTTAAGTACTTAACTTTTCATATCTCTGGTGAGAGCGCATTTATGCTTTTATCAAATCACGTGATTTATTTTGCGTCCTACAAAGAAGTTTTCTTCCAATTTGATGTTTTTCATAGTAAAGTTATCTTAAAAATCTCACTTTTCATAGATATAACTACTTACTGTATTATGATTCAACGAATCGTTATTTTCATTTTCTTGAAAACTATTTAAAACTAGCCGTTTTCCTTTAATTGCACATCGGTGAACCCCTCAGAGTATATACAGGGATTGTTAAAGCACTAGTCATTCAACCTGCTATGCAAAAAAATATTTCACGAATAAACATTTGCATCCAGACACATTATGCACATTTCATCCATCGAAAGACGTGCACCTATTTAACCAATTATGGTGCAAGAAGAATGGTGACAAGCATTACCGAATTTGCACTTACGATGGGCAACTTGTGGAGATGGATCTTCTTACACTTACGGAGATCATGGGATCCCCCCATGTTTCTCAGTCTTTGGTTTTCTTTGTAGCGTTTTATGTACCTACTTGTTTTTTCTTTGTCTTTAATTTTTTGTTTGCCATGCCATCTCAATTTGTGAGCTTTGAATATCTTCTTGGTACTGTCCGCCTTTTTTTGCGAATGTGTAATGAAAATTGAGATGAGCTTTTACCACAAAAACAAAGCATGTCAGAATTCGTCAGTGGTTCTTTTGTGTCAAAATTTGGAAGACTTTGGTGGTCATAGCAGTTTATATACAGTATCTGCTCTACTCATTTACATCTTACAGTACACTAGGGCCGATTTAAGCTTAAATATTACCTTTCTACTGTAACAGTGGAATATTTTATATGTTAATATAGTAAGGGTCGTTGGATTGCTGTCTCATTGACGTATAAAACCCCTAAGGGTGACTAGGGAATAGAAGTATGGCCACTCTTGGTCTTTTTCGACCAGCAGTAAAACTCTTGCCAAAGAGGGAAATCCGTTTGGCTGTGCGGGATGTATAAATACGCGTCAACGTCCGGTCAGAATGGGGAGTGCTGCCACGCTCCCTGCACGTTAAGAATCCTTGCAACAACCCTTTGATGGGTCCTTATGTGACCCGTTCCAAGTCTAAACGTCTGTCCCTGTCCAATTTACTGTCAAAAAGAGGACATCCTCATTTTCCAGAGGCAGTCCAAATTTCCCGACATTAAAGGACCAACCTATAGTATTTGTCGTTAATTTTGTTCTTGTCCTGAACATAAATTAAATATTTGACACTTTTAATTTAATGATCTTTTTGCTTTTTTATATTGCCAAATGTTTGATGTACCTTTTACTTCTAATTACTCTTTTCTTGAGAGTATTTATAAATTTATTGTGTTCATGTATATTCTGTATTGTGTGTCTGTTTTTGGTTTTTCAATAAAACAAAAATCTCCTATACGATACAGTTTCGTCCAAAATTGCAGCTTTCAATCATATTTTAGGGTAGAGTCTACAACTCCATTCTAAATAAAATAAATTGGCCTTTATTTTTAGAAATATATCCGGATGAGTTTTCCTTTTATACAAAATAAGAATGTGTTTACAATATACATTGTATTTGTTTTCCTTTAAGTTGTAGATATCTATTCCAGGCATTAATTTGTTTGACTGTTGTCACAGTTATATTGATTTAAAAAAGATGTTAGGTACATCATGTAAACCTCTATACATAAATACGGAGAAACAGTAGGTTACTAATGATTTGAACTCGTAAATCTGTTTTGAATATACAAACAGAGGAAAACATCTTTCATTTTATAAGTGGTAATTTCAATTTGTGTGATGTAATGCAGAGGAAAACAGCAACCAAAATCATCCATGCTAAAATAAAAAAAAAAACAAAACCATTCGGAAAACTCATGGGCAATGACCATTGCCAGCGAAAACTGTTTATACAAAAAGTGCAGCATGTTCTTCTCTTTGACTTGTGTATAATATATAATATTTATTTTTAAAGGGTGACTGAGATTGTCAGTGACTATGCAATATCTTTTCACTATATCTCACCAGAACAAATGCGTGTATTAGATTTTTGTTTACCATTTAAGACCTTTTATCTCAGATGGTGCCATAAAAACAAAATACATATATGGTTTGGCGATATCTGACCACAGCTTTTATTCATCATATAGATTCATATGATATATATATATATATATAGATAGATAGATGTATATGTATATGTAGATAGATATATGGTTGGTTACCTGAAGATAATATGGCAACCTTGCAGATAGATAGATAGATATATATGAAAATGTAAAGATGCACCGTGGGATACACTGGTGCTTTAAATTTAGAAAACACCGTGGGATACACAAGTGTAGTCTGTATTATCCAAAAACCTTAAATTTCATAGTTAACATTAAGATTCTATGCAGCGAATTCTGCCACATTGACGGAGGAAAACAGAGACTCTGTCAACCGCCATAAAAAGGGCGGTTCGCTGCAAAGCTGTGAACCAGATAACTATAGACAGATAGATAGATATATTATTTAAAGTACAACTTGGTACATAAATATGTTAAATAATCAATATGGTGTTTTGTGAACAACTGTTCAAAAACATATTTACCTACACAGATAAAAATACTAACCAAAACTACACAAAACCATAAGATAGTTGATTGTATTTGTATATCATAAAATATAGTATATTATAGTATATCATCAAATAAATATTCAAGATGTTTAACAATTCATTTCATAAGCATGTTGGTTAAGGGTGACAAGTGAGAACCATCAAGTTGAAAAATTTCTGATCTGATCGAAAATCATGATATCGTAAGTAGCAACCCTGACAGCTAATTATAAAGGCAATAATATAGTAGTATATTCTAGATCTATAGCAACACAAGTCCATGCTTTGCAATAACCTAATCAAATTTGAAACCATACTACTTAAGAATTGATGAACCGCATAATCCATCTGATCACGTTCTTTATCTCATTGAGCAAAAATCCCACTCTAGAACTACCTGTGTCATTACCTGCTACATGTTTTATTAAGAAATATGGTGGATCCTCATAGTTTCATTGTTCTGAGTTAACTTTTAACATGCTTGACAATCATGCCATCACAAAGATTCATTTCAATGCCTAGACCTAAGTCAACCCCATCTAGAGGATGTCGGTCTGCTACAAAAACATACTTACTATTGAGGATTCTACTATCCAAACATTATAGCTATATAGGATCTCCTACAATTCTTATACGGCAATTAGCTACATGGAAGTATATGTACATATGTAAAACAAATACAATTTAAAGCATAATTAATCGAGAAAAATAATGATTCTTCTGTAACCCCTGTATTAAGTTGTCAGCATTGGATCTCCGACCCTTTAATAATCCTCAAAAACAATAGAAAAGACAGCTTCAAACAAACTGCATTCATACCAAGTTTAACCAACACAAGATAAGGAAATATTTGCTAGACTTCAGCATGACTCTGGTTAAGGTAAATGTAAATCATTGTCCTTAGGCCTGGAGTGTTTAATACCTCCTTAAAAACTGTCAAACCTCAAATTTTTTTTGACACATCTGTTAAATTTTCCTAAAAAATATCCAAATCTAGTAAATAAGTAATGTCACAATTATATTGAGAGAGATACAAAATGTACAAGTAAGCAATACCTCAACAATTCATAGAGAGAGAAAGGAAATGTATTCATTAAAACAATTAGAGATCTGAACTCATGAAAAAAATAAATCTATATGTACTAGGTGCTATGGAACTTACAATTAAACGGTTACTAAAGGCCTGAAATAACAGTAATAAATTCCCGTGGGGTTATAGCAGGAAAAACATCTGCAGTTGGGACCAAGCATCTGAAGCGATCCACCTAAAAACCAGAAATGGCTTCAGCCATAAGAAAAATTTGTACCAGATCAGTGATAATGAATGTCATACTAAACTCCGAAATATATGAACTAAAATAAAAACTCATACAAGGTTAACAAAGGCCAGAGGCTCCAGACTTGGAACAGGCACTAAAATGCAGAGGGGTTAAATTAAACAAGCTTTTTAAAATCTCAACCCAATGAAGAAGAAACAAAGACACAGCAATACGCACAGTAAAAATCACACAGAAGTCCGAGTCCAATAACAGAATAGGTAACAAAACAAACAAAACAAAAATTGAAAATGACAATATTACATAAACAACAAAGGACTACAAACAGTTACTGACATGCCAGCTCCAGACCTTATTTTAACTGTTCGAAAGATTATGTCTTCATTATATTAAATATCTAGCACCATCCTTCCATTGGGAGTTTAGTATCATACCATCATAAAATATATTAGAGGAACATTAACCGTATCATACCAGCAACTGGTTTAAGAATAAATGAGTTTATGTCCGATGCAAAGACTGTGCAAGTGAATCAATATTAAAGTCAAAAATGCTTTTTTTTTTTGTTTTTTTTTTTTTTTTTTTTGTTTTTTTTGCAGGCAACAGTTTTCCTTCTTCATAAGTTTGCTTTAATGTTTTGTTAGCTTTTGAGGTAAACCTGGCATTTTGTGCTTTGTAAAGAATATTACCATAAAAGATTATAGATGGGAAATACCTGAATGTGTAAGATGTCTATGTTGAAGTGAATTTCTTATAATGTAATAAACTGCCCATAAAACAAGACAAGAATAACTGGATCAACTCAGGCAAATGCAATTTTTAAAGAATGACTATGAGGACCTGTATACTAGAGTCTAAATCCATGTAAGAAGAAACAAACATTTAGTATAACAGCAGCAACCACTCTCTGTCTCGTCTTGGGTTTGAACTAGGTTGCCCAAATGAAAACTTATTTCCATTTGAGGTCTAGGTGACCTGAAACTTGGTTTATCATAAGAAGGCCTAGATTATGCAAAGTAAACATGGTAAATGCTCCTGTTATGACAACCGACAAGTTATAATAGGATGACCTGCATCACACAAAAAAAACAAAAAAAACAAAAAAACAACAACAAAACAACAACAAAAAACAAACAAGCTGCTTAACAACATCTAGGTACCCACGAAATTAAAAGCATAACATTTTAAATTAGTCCCAGTGTTCATGTTAGCTGAAGTTCAACCTGTACTATAATTTTCATTAATAAATTTCAACCATAATTTGGAATCAACTGTAGCCTAGGAACCAGTAGGGCCAATGGTTTTTTGTAAATGAAATTGCTCGTCATAATGCTTCAAGCTTAAATTAACAAAGCTTGGCACCTAAACGTACAGCGTACGATACTCATATGCTTGAACAACTCTTAGAATCTTCCAGGATGAAGATTACAATAAATTCTAGTATATATATTGATTAAAGCTGTTGTCGACACCTAAATACTAAAGATTTTTAACTGGTTTGGAGCAGACTGCAAGACAAGCTGTAAATAATTACTTAATTTGTACTAGTTTTGCTAATATTACATGTACATAGATATAGGAAGATGTGGTATGAGTGCCAATGAGACAACTCTCCATCCAAATAACAATTTATAAAAGTAAACCATTATAGGTCAAGGTACAGCCTTTAACGCGGAGCCTTGGCTCACACCGAACAACAAACTATATAGGGCCCCAAAATTACTAGTGTAAAACCATTCAAACCATACATACATGTATATATCCTCGCTTACTGCAGCTGACACAATTTACACAAAACTCTCTAATAGTCTCATTTTAAAAGTTGTTTTCAAGATAAAACCATTTTGGCCCCTATTTTCCCTTAAATATATAAAAAAAATAAATATAAAAAATAATAAAAATTTCCCACACAGCTGAAACTGGTTGATAGGGTTTGGGCAAACAGAAATATTTGCAGTCTGTCCTAAAATAGTGATCAATAAGTATTCACTTCTATAAATTTGTCCTTTTTATTTGTGGTACTTTATTGCAATATCTGTATTCATACAGTACATGCATATCTGATTTGGAATATTCAGATTATTATCAAGATAAATAATATTATATTAGTAAATAGTGTTCTGCATTACAAATCATATGTTACAAATCATATGATAATATACAAAACAATAAAAGTTTCACATGTAATATATTTATATATATATAATTATAATAATAATATATAATTGTAACCTTATAATTAAGAATTGTTTCTTCTTTCTAACGAATGATGCGGCATCCCATATAAAAATAACACATTCAGGAATATTTTGTGGATTTAAGTTTAGAAACTGAGAAATAATCATTACACAAATCTACATCTTAACCATAAGATTGGAAAAAAGTTGCCTTATATCTTTATACATATGTTTGTTATTTGTTAGAATCACATGTACACGTAGGGGTTTAACTTAAAAGTAATATACTGTTTTGGTAAATCTGACGATTTCCTGGTAAATTATCAAATGGAACATACTGATGCAGAGCTCTGGGGGTTTGCATAAATGACGTCTGATGATGATCCGATGTACAAATGTATGTGACCTAAAGGAGTTGAGTTAGTGGCGTGATGAGTCATGAATCCCGTCCAGTCTGGTGACCCATCTGTAAAAATTGTGCACGTCATTGTCTGATTGTTGTCTATGTCTCTGGTCCAATTGTTACTACCCTTGTGGTGTTCTGTAGCCAAGCAAGGTCGCACTTTTCGCTTTCTAACTGATCTTCCCAACATGTGCTACAACTCAACAAAAGGTAAATTATCCGGATAAAGAAAAGACAACGGATCGGACATATATTTTAACAGTTAAGTTGACATATCAATTTGTATAATTTTTCTTGTAAACTTGTGTATAATAAATCTTGTTAAATTTTATTATTGATTTGTGTCTTTTGTTGGCTACAATTTAAAGGTTATTTCTTGCCGTAACAATGTTTTTATACCAAAGTTTATGACAAAAGGGATGATCTTTTCTTCTCTATTCGATTATGATGTTTCGTTTATTCCCTGTTATGAAATTTCATTATATAATTTGTACACGTTTGCAGTGAAGTCTCGGATTTCCACAGAACCTAAATTTTCATCATTAAAATTTATGTTTGATCTAAAAATTATCATTTGTTCAAAGCCATACTTTTCATTTTGCATTTTTGTTAATTTTCACTGATACAGTTCGTTTCATGTGAAAACCTATGCAATGAGATGTTTCCCACATATACGGCGATATTTACTTTCAGACTGATTTTCTACTTTATATACCACCAATATATGATGTCAGTTTCAATGTATTTTTGTGACATTTAAAGTTATTTATAAGAATTGAGACTTTCTTTATCTACTTTTATTATGTGTACAAACTTTATCGAATTACATTATGTATGAATCGGTTCATGCCATAAATGTGCACACAGTCAGCCAATAAAACTACGAAAAACAAGGCATTCAATTAATATAATAATTGTTTATGTTAATGCTAAAAATTCATTAAAGGTGGTGGGTTTATAATTTAGTACGACAAACGCGCGTTTTGCTCTCCTAAGACACGTCTGCGGCTCTTGAATCAAAACAGTTGAGAATCAAATAAGAAATTGAAAAGCAGATAATACACATTTTTGGAACGTTATCGTGGAGAGAAACCAAACACGCATGTGTGTAATACTATGTAGTAAAAAAAAAACTGGACGAAAATGGTGTGATCAGTCTGTATATGTGGACTTGACCAATCAATTGGAATTTTATTATGTTTATTGGATCTCAAAAGTACAATTCATAGCAGTAACGAACAATAAGAATGCCAAAATTATATGAAATTTACACTTTGTGTTTATAGCCAGTTGAAAAACTAATTGAGTATCTATGTTAGGATCTTGAATACTAACAGAGACACTCTAAGACTTGTGTTCTCCAGAAATGTTATGTTTACAAAAATAGTAGAAGGTTTGCAATCAAAAACCATATATTTCGTTTTAAAATTGCATTCAGCTTATGTTCAACTACACATGTCAGTTTTTCTGAATTTCTCTCGTACAACTGTTAACGGACTCGTTATGAAATATTGTAACAAACATTATTTTAGTATCGATATTAATGTCTAACTCTTTAGAACTCTTGAATACGCTCGAATGTCTCGCTTGACGTTTATGATTTCTCTAAACTGTATACTATACCACCATAAAAACTTCTTAAAGGGACATTAGCTGTCAAATTAATGTCACCGATTCGACTCAAAATCTAATATTTTATACTTAAACATCTATCCAAATAACAAAATATCATAAAGAAACAATTTACCATACATGATCTAGTTAAATAATGTACAAACATTTCGTGTGTATTTTAGAATAGACGCCATCCAATTAACCATCGAATTGATCTCCGAAGAATTCCATCAGTCACATGAACTGATGTTAACATAATTATAAATATAAATATACAGGCAAGCACGTGCAATCGTAAAATGACGATTTTTCCAGGTCTGTTTGATTTCATGTCATAGATTAAAAAATAAGTAAATAATCGTTTTATCTGTATTTGAATGATTTTTTGTGGGCAAAATCAGTCAACGAAAGGGATCTTCCTGGTTGCTGCCTTGTTTTACTTTTCAATGTTGACATTCTTGTCCTTTTTTTTAACTAAACATGCTTACCCCATGCGTAGCTCTTTCCAATTAAGGGTTTAATTGAAGTTCGCATGAATGAGATGAACTATTGACTTGCAAGCCATTAATACATCAGCGATATGTTTTAGCTTATTTTGACAAAATTAAACTTAACTGACTGCTAATAGCGATTTTTTTTTCACAATGACACTTAATAAATTTTTGAAACCAAATAATTATATTTTGATTATTTTGTCAACTTCGTATTTAATGTCCCCTTAAACAAAAAATTGTCTTTTCATAAATCTGGCTGAAACTATATCTAATAAAGTCTTTACAGTTCATTTTTCAATTATATACAAATCATTAAATCATTAACATTTTGCTTGATAATATATAGGTTCGTTTTGGAGATAAAGTATCCCATGATGTGATTTGTATTCAGTTTGGGGCTAACTGTGCCCTTCTTTTTACAGATTTATCTCTTAACTTTTATTTATAACAGTTTAGGATAAAACTACATGACGGATAGTTTTAACCATGCAGGTGTTTAAACGATATATTCTCCTCTGTTAAAAATATGCGGAAGATACCATGAGGAAATTCAAAACTCATTTGTCAAATATCAACAATTCAACACAAATGAAATTCATCAACCTAAACTCCCTCCAACTAAATTAAATATAGAGAGCAGTGTCATTTTAGACATTGATAACAGAATTTCCAAATTCATTATATGTAAGAGGAAACAGTAGTTTACCAAAGTTCAAATTTCGTAAATCCATTTAGAATATACCAATTGTTAAACACTAAACGGAACGATACCGGTTGCGTCAACGGGATAAGCATCTCTTTTTATGCATGCATAATCCACAATGCGAATCCACACTTAGTCAAAATTTCACAAAAGGGAACACGATACAATCGGTAAATGTACAGATAAATGACTGTTCTGGTATCTAAAGATCTAAACTAGACTTGTCAATGGTTGTCATTTGTTGGTGTGGTTCATAAGTGTTTCTCGTTTTTTATATAGATTAGACCGTTGGTTTTCCTGTTTGAATGGTTTTACACTGGTCATTTTTGGGACCCTTTATAGCTTGCTGTTCAGTGTGAGCCAAGGCTCCGTGTTGAAAGCCGTACTTTGACCTATAATGGTTTACTTTTATAAATTGTGACTTGGATGGAGAGTTGTCTCATTGGCACCCATACCACATCTTCTTATATCTATTGTCCTTCTCAACTTTTAACCTTCCTTTCATTGATGGTGATGGTCTGTTGGCTCTTTCTTGTGTAGTGTACATTTCTCAGTTGGTTCCTATAAACGCATGTTTGCAATGACGTACCAGATTTCAATCAATATAATATTTTCTAAAACGTTTTACATCAGATATAGATATCATAGGAAATGTATTGTGGAAGTATCATGATTCAACACACGAATTTGCTACTACAACATATGCGGAATATTTTTTTATTCTAGATTAAAAGGTTTTAGATCCTTAGATTTTACCACCTTGGCCTTCTTACAAATCCAGTTGGTTAAATTGATTTTCAACCGATCTAAAGAATCCATATAAACTCATAATGATACAAATAATAACCTGATAATTCACTAGTCCGTAGCATGAGACTAGTTTATTCCAAGCATTGAGCGGTACCAGCTGATAATCTACTTCATCGATTAGGAGCTCCTTCAATCTTCCAGTGCTATCTGCAAAACGACGAAACACTGTAAAATAAACTGGTGAGCCAGGAGCAATGATGCACCCGTCGTCGGCATGTTGAAACTGAGATTAGAATAAAACAGAATCTTGTGGGAAGCATCCAATCAGAAGTTAGTTTAAGGTCCTGCAGACATGATTACTGCAGGATATCCTCGTGCATATAAAAATGCCTAAAGATTAGAAGATTAAATTTCCATAATACTTGTAAAGCAAATCCCATTTTCAAAATAAAAAAGAAGCATATTTTCGTCAACAACAGTGAACCGTTTGAAGCAAACTGATCCAATCATACTTAGCTAGTGCATGACATGTGAACAATTGGGAATGAGTTTCTAAAATATTCTATATCAAATATGTTCAAAATGAACACTTTTGGAAGACCGGTAGAAAAGATACTTAAATCATCAAAACAAAGAAGGGTATATTAAATGTTAGTCATATATTTTAACATAAAATAAAAGCTTATACTATACTTTGAGAACCTAATATAAGTCTACCAAAAATAAATTGATGCAGATGATATATTGTAAAAAGAATTTCCGCTGAATGTTGCCGAAGTGAGTTTAACACGCAAGAACAGTTTCAACTTGTACAGATTGCTACCATTTCAGTGTATAAATGATAAAAAACACTATGAGGCCGACTTATACTTACAAAGTTATTCTGTGAATAGATATGTATTAGCTTATAAGAGAGTATTCGGCTACTATAACATATGGTTTGACTGGCAGTTTATTTACCATTGATGACTGTTGTCCTTTCGAATTTATTAAGTATCGGGTACACAGGGATATTTCACTCAGATGAATTTCACGTGAATTTGAATTCGTGTGAATTTCACGTTAAATTCCACCTCAAACGAGCTTATACGTGAGGTGCACCCGAAATCAGTTCATGTAAGTTTCACATGTATTCAAATAACATTTAATTTTCGAAATTTAATTTAGATCATGAAAAATACCAATTTTTTTGTTTGTAAAGTTCACGTGAAAATCATGTGAAAAATTTCACGTGAGATTCAAGTGAATTCCAATTCACGTGAAATTCACATGAAATTTTTCATGTGAGTATCATGTATAAGCTCGTTTGAGGTGAATTTCACGTGAAAATTTTCACGTGAATTTCATGTGAGATTCATATGAAATTCACGTGAGTAAAATTTGCCTGTGTACATCTAATTTACAATGATTTTAATTTTTTGAATTTTGTCAAATCAATGTCCGGGTTCATTTTAAATAAGAACAACTGAATTAAGACATTTTAAGACCACATTGAGCTATTTGCATTTCCTTAATACAATTTGCTAAGTTTATGTCTAAGTTTAATGATCAGTTTATGCTTTATTGACTTAGAATAGGGTTTAACAATATTGCAGTTCTCTTTATCAATGTGACATGCATTCTTGTTTCATGGTACGATAAAATATTTTGGAAATCAGAATGCCCCTGATAGGTTTCTATATAATATTTTTGCATACAATTACTTTGATAAAGTTACGTTTTCTATTTTTGATTCCAAAGTGCTAGTTGACCTATAAGATAAAATAAGATATTTTTATTCCAATTAAAGAGCCCATGAAGAGCAAAGTAATTTATTACACTGATTCTAATAATTGACACAATAATTTTGATAATCATATATAAGTATGAATATAATCATTTCCAATTTTTTATATCTTAAACCACAGCCAGACCAAAGACATAAGCATACAAGTAAAAAAAGCATAACAGTTATAAAAAGGCATAAAAGTTATGCATATATGTGTAACTTAATAAAAGATTATCGACTGCTTTCCGCCAAAACAATGGAAATGACATACAGTTTAAGCTACTTTAATATTACAAACGTATAACAAGTTGGCGTGTTTATTTCCCTGCGATTTGATACTTCAAATGGACGCGAACACCTAATGTTAAAAATCAAGACTCATCTTCTGTACCGTTAAAATAATTACGCTCCTTTCAAAAAATTTTTGCATTAAAAATATTCGTGACGAAATTGTGTACATATTTATCCATACGTTATGATAAAATGAACTTCGTAGATGTACAAATGAAAAATAATTCTCCATAATTATCGAATTATCGTAAATAAAGAGCATACAAACCGTCTATCAATGGTAAGTTATCAATAGGTCCTGGGTGTGCTCCTTGCTGACCAACATTGAATGCATTCCAAGGTTCGTAACCAACGTATTATCTCCATTGCTTGAACCGTATCCAAAAGATACCTGTTATAAAAATATAGTTCATGAGAAAAGCATACATGTAAAAAACAATCAAATTGTCGAAAGTCATGCGTATACGAAGATGAGAGCAATCATCACGTTCACATCAAGTCAGCTTAAAAAGTATAATGTATTAAAAAATATCTGTTCAGTTTTCTGAACGGCAATCTGAACGGCAAATACGAGTAATGTTAGCTTGGAGAAGAGACTTGGTTGTAGACTGGTCATACCTATTGAATTGTATGCAATAAATTCTTGTTTTGATGGTTTGCTTTGGTTTGTATAGTTTCAGAAGTATACTAAATTCGCATAAAAACTTGAGAATTTTTACGGTTGACATAACAAGTATCCAGATAACAATTTAACAAATAGATTAAACTGCTTTTTATGATTCATTTTTATACACTCGAGTCAATACTAGATTTTACTACTTGTAAGCAATCCAGGCTTACAATCCTCAGGCACTAGTCTCAGTAAAAAATTATATGTATACCTTTATTTAACACAACCTTCTATAAAGTTTCTTGAAACTAATATCAATTCTTCCAATGACAAAAATAGGCGTGTGATAAACCCCGTTTTGCAAATTATTTAATGTTGATTTAGAACATAACAAGTTTCAGTGGGATAGACATCCTCTGAATCAAAATATAACGGGAGTAGCGACCGAGTGTCATTTTTCAAAAATAAGAGTTGTGCACCTTGTGTTATATTAGGTTATATATGTAAAAAAAAATCTTTTGCATTGTTAATCATTAAAATATATATATATTTTGCACTGTTTGTTCATTGCTCCACACTCGAAATTATAAATTATAGAAACATACAGGATACAGTGTGTGTTGGAGAGGAGTTAATTATTTCATATCTAAGAAAAAACGTTCGAAAATTTCAATAATGAAGATATAATGAATATAAGCAATTACGAACATTTAAATGTATAGTGAGAAGCAAAGACTAACTTGGCATCAAGGAACTAGCCAAGTTTATTCATTCTTGATTTCAGCTAAAGGCAAAGCTGTGCAGAAAAAAAATATGTATTACAATATACAAATTTTATTTTCCCTAAAAAGCTTTAAAGGTGCTTTGCAGTATCATAAAGTATGCCAGTTTTGTTACTTTGTTTATTTGTGGGATTCTGCGGATTAGGTGGAGTTTTTTGTTCATTTTAAACCTTTAATTAATTTCTTATACTGTCATTACTAAAAGTTCCAGTTATATAATTACTACTAATATGACACAAGTACAACTAAACCGGCTCGTGAACCATAATGACAGTCTGTAATGTCGGTATTGGAAATCTTTCAAATGCAGAGAATAGCGTCAAACACCTCTCAATTTTTTTAATAAGTTAAAAATGTTAAATTTATCCATCACATTTTTTATTATCAGGCCATCGGGTCGATGTATAATTGAATATGTTATACCGGTCTATAGTGTGCAGACCATAACTATGTTGAACTCTAGATGGTTTTGTTTTGTGTGTCATAGTGTTGCTGCTTGATTGAAATATACCCTTTTATTCATATCCATGCTTTTATTTGTCATGAAATTTTCAACATTATTTAGAAAATCTTTGATTTTTAAAATTTCCTCTGTTCACATTTTAATGCTGATGGTTCTAAATATGAAAAAAAGTATAAAAAAAATTCTCAACTCCAAGGCAAATTCAAAGAGGGGAGGTCCATAAATTCTAACAAAATTAAACGCTTTGAAACAACGGAACAAGTGAAAAACTACTGCCATATTCCCGACTTGGTACAGGCATTTCCTAAGAAAACGGTTGGTTAAACCTGGTTTTATAGCTAGCTAAACCTCCCGCGTGTATGACAGTTGTTTATAGTTCCGTTATATTGACAAATTTGGGTAAGCACCCCAAACAGACATAATAGGTTAATGTGACAATAATTGGGATCCAGCAGTCAACAATGTATAAACATGTTTCACAGACATACAACACCACTAACTAAAAAATCCAAACAAACATACAAATTAATCTAACAAAAAAGGTGTAGTAAATAGTAATAACTCATCATAGATGCCAAGACCAAAACTTTATACGCCAGACGCCAGACTTGCGTTTCATCTACAAAAGACTCATCAGTGACGTAAATTAGACAATGACGTCACCACCAACAAAAACGTTTTTGTCGTTGATGTTACATACCGTATATAATACTAGTATAAATTTTCTCGATAAAGGGAAAATTAATTAAATAAAAACACAAGGGTAAACAAAATAGACACACCACTATAACAACCTTATGTGTCCAAATCCACTCTAAGACATAAGCCCGGATTTACTAATATATTTCTACAAATTTATCTCAGCATGTTATCATTAATCTGTTATAGATAAATTATGTGGTCACACTTTCTTTAGGATTCACTAATTATAACCAGATGTCAGTAAACCACAAAATGTACAAGAACTTTATCAGAAAATGTTTTTGTATAAATCAAATATTATTCTGTTTTTTCTGTCCAGGTTTCATCGTGGTATTTTCAAGTCTTTCTGAAAAAAAATATGAAATTTGAAAAAAAAAGTTATTATTAAAAATGAAAATTAATAATACTAAGATAAAAGTATGAAAAATTTAGTTTATTTCAATATTATGGACAGCCTTCCCCCATTCATATGCAATAATTTTGTTCATCAACTGTAGATATTTATTCCTAATATTTATTAAACTTAAAAAAACATACAATATAAAATGTATAAAATTAATGGTACCTTTAATCTAAATTAACTTTGTATTGACTTATTAATAAATATTTTTTTCTCATTTTTGATATAAACTACATTTATTCAAACTGTTGTTAAAGTGATTTCTGAGAAAAAAAAATAATGCTATATACGATTAGCCAAACCTTGACAAAGTATTTGATCTATATCATAGGTACTTAGGGACAGGACAACTTTTAAACCCTCCCTCTTTTTTCCAAATTATTTTATTTTGCATTAATTTAAAATATTTTCATATTTTTCTGTATTATGCAGACATAAATGTGTTAGAAATAACTTTTATTTGCTATTTGCTATCAATTCCAACCTTTCTATCCACAGCGTGAAATTAATAGAAAACAAAACAAACGGATGTTTGCAAAAAAGGGGGAGGGCAAAAAGATTGTTCTGTCCCCAAGTACCTATGATCTACGCATGATGGAGCTATATTTCTAAATTCAAAATGATTTCTAAAATTCAAGAACAATGTATAATAATTAAATTTAAACTTACTTTGGAGAAGATGCTTGAGGTTTTAGCTTCCATTTCTTTGGCGTTGTGGAGTCCTAGGGATTTTTCTCTTTGGCAATTTCTTTTTGGCTAAATTCATCTTCTGCAGTAGTTCATTTTCAGGGAACAAAAGTTTTCCCTTTATGTCTTTAGCAAAAGATTCAGGTCCAAAGTTGTATTCAATTTCCCCAGACTGCAATTTTAGTAGATATCCCTCAACAAGAAACTCCGGCATTGGTTCAAATTGAAGACCTGCTGACAGGTAATACTGTATGAGACAATCTACATTTTTTGCAAGTGTTTAAACAACACATTTAGGTGGCATCCACAGTTGAGCATTTTGCTGGACTCCTTTACTCCTCAAGGTTGGCATTTTTATAGACATCTGACGTACTTCTTCGTATGTAAGTTTTGATGCGTCATACAGCTTTGGACAGTAAAGATATTTGATGAACTCTGTATAATGATCTGCATCAAAATTTACAGAAACAACTTTCCCTTCCTTAGTATGAATGGTAACTAAACCTTCTCTGAATGTTGTCTTCCTCATAAAAAGGTCAACTGTTGAAGAATGAGAAATCTGGTAGAACTCTGGCAAAAAGTCATTCCCTCCTAAACTTAATATAATGGCATTCTTCATTCCAATAAACTTTTCTGATGTGAAATTTTCTATCATTAAAATTATTTTAGTTACGTTGTAAATGTCATAGACCTGATTTGGTTTTCTAAGGATGACGTAAACTTCATTTTTGAATGTCCCATTTTCTGTTCCCGGCCAAAGATGTGATACTGCAAACAAATGAACTACAACGGCATCAATATCTCCTGATAAAACAATACTAACACATGATTCTTTAGGTTTGAGACTGTTGCAATATTCCATTAGCCAGTCAATCTGTGACATCTCAGCTTCTCCTTTATTTTGACGGATACTGTCCAATAAATCATGCTCTTGATATCCACCTACTTCTTTGAATACAGCACGAACTGGTGTACAGAAACAATGGCAGGTACATTTCCTTTTTTTCACAATTACACGGTGTCATTTGCAGCTCACTGTCTATGTCCAAAGTGATGGTTTGCTTTAGTCTAACTGCGTTATGTTCTTTGCTAGATAAGTGCTTGTAATAACCTTTCCTTCTGTTGTTGATATAAGGGATGTTTTATCAACTTTTTCAGCACTAAGTACTTCTTCTGCGGTCTTAAGGTGTGATTGTTTTTGGTTTGTTTTCCTCTGAGCTTTAAAGTCATCAGGGGTGAAATTGTACTTTTCTTCACAGATCGCAAGATGCTTTAGAAGGGGAAGTTGATGTTTAATCTTTTCTACAACATCTTTTCCAATATAATTCAGATATTCATTTCCTGTATGTGCAAAAGATGAAAATTTGATTCCTGCAAATTCTAATGTAGCATATGTTGTAGAGCTGGCTAAAGATGGAAGAATAACTTTGCTACCTAGAATGACTGTTCCGTCACTTTCTAGCTTTCCCTTTCCATTGTCTTCGTCAAGGTGTTGTTGTTCCTGGTTGGTATAAGTTTGGATTATGATACTTAAAAGGGCCTTTTGAATGCTCTGTGATTTCTGTACTTTGGGTTTTGAGCAATCTGGCTTTACTATAGATTGACAAAGATTCATCTGTGATGATATATGATTGATTTGTTTGGACTGTTTTGCAACTTCTTTATTTCTTTTATCTTCTTTAATTTCTCTTTCTGTTTTTGCTGTCTGTTGTCTCTTTAATGGGATGTGGCGAATTG